CTTAAGAAGGTCGTACTGGTTCGATGTGGCCGGAGCTGCGAGGATGTCTTCTAGCTCGTCGGCAAGCTCTGCTGGCAGCGACGAGACTACATGGAGGTACTTCGTTGTTTGTGAGGTGATGTGATGGAGTTGGAATTGCGCCTCAACCTGCGCTAACCAAACCGTAGCCTTTTTTTGTGCCCAAAATGCCGGCAGCTTGATTTGGAATGCCGCTAAAGATCCCGATGGAATTGCTTCCGCCGCAGGCGATTCACCGTTAGCCAAATCCATCATTGAAGAGGGTGAAGAATCGTGAAGGGGAGTCGTTCGTCCGGGTCACCAATTTGTCGGGGTTGAAATATTCAACGGGACGAATCCAAAGGACGACTGTCTTCGAAGCACCTCCTCGGTCTAGTTTTTCCTTTTCTTCTTTTGCCCTTTTGGGCAGGCGCGTGGCCTCTTGAGCAGGCCTGGCTTGCTGTTGGGCTTGCCTCAGCCTATGTCGCCACAGCAGTCATTCCACATACCTTCAAGATTGTTTCCGTCTTTTTCCCACGCAAAATGTACAAGATTAGACGAAAGAAAAACGCCCAGGTCTTTTTATTTGAGGTAACGTAGGTCGGTAATGCGTTCCTTTATTTCGCAAGTAGCGAGTTACACATTTCGTTACTTCTTTTTCGATAAGCTGGAAGAAATTCAATTTTCCAAATGTCGCGGAAGTTTTAGGACAAGCCTTTTCAGCTTACCTTTAACAGGAATACTGAGCGGCAATCACCACCCTTGTATTTAAAGCAACATTGTTTACTCTCACCATCGTGATGCTGGCGAAGAATCATGCACAAAGGAGTGTTTGAAATGGTTCATTTCAACTTATAAGAACATTCCTACTCAGATCTAGTCTGGCACTTACCCAAGTGAACATTTTCTTCTATAAAGAATACTAGCATAGCCTGACTGTTGATATTTATTCTTGACAAGATGCAGGTAAATTCAATTCGCAAATAGGCATGACACTTTCTAATTTATATTTTTGTTAAATAGAAAAGAGTAGTATTCCATGCTTTCCTCATCATAGGAGCTACCCAATTGGTCACTTTCTGGCGGTTTGCGTGCGCAATCATCATACTTCTGCCACGCGCCCTTGTGTACGTCGTGTTTGTCCAGCCCACAGACAAATAAAAATTTTCTTCATGACATAAAAGAGTCAATAGCAGCCTTCTGTATGTTTGAGAAGTTATAAGTCTGTCAGGGGCACAGGATTCCTTAAATTCGCTTCAAAATCAAAAATTTGTTAAGGGCTTTCTTAAATTATTTATACAATATCGAGGATAAAAACGCCGGGAAATATTTGCAGAGCATCATTAATATAATTTGGGGGTGCCTATACTCGATATGTTATCGTTAAGGTGATCGGAATTTTATTTGTGTTGTCAAATTTCCAGTCAGTAAGTAAATATATTTATTAGGTATTATCAATCATGCCCAAAAGGACTAGTGCCCATATGATAGTTCCGAACGAAAATACACGAAATTTGCAGAAAAAGAGAGATAATAAATGTTTTTTTCGATAATACCCTACACACCGATTTACTGCAAATAGAAATACATTGAGATGTATGGAAGGATATCCCTAATTGTACATAAATAGCGCGAACGACAGTCGCAGATTTTTAGTATCCTAATATAAATCAAATTTGGGTATTAGCTTGCATGAGCTCTAAACCTCGCGAAATGCTGCCTCGGAAGGCTAATGTTATATTCAGTTTTACGTGCATAGGTTTTAGGTCTCCACTTTACAACTCTGTGCTTTATCAGTGATGTGCTTTAGCATTTTATTAGGCTTCGTATATCATCGCGAGGCTGTTATACAATTTCACAATTTGGACATTTATTGCTAGTGCTGCCAACATCGTATTTCACCAGAAAGCTGAACTGTGTTACCCTTCGATGCCCAGTATTGCTGAGGAGAAACATCTCTGAAGAATGATTTAATTTCTCCCACGCCATGTCCGCCTCAATAAATTTAACACCCTCTGCGGCAAGGGTGAGGATACCTGCGCTTAGCAATGAAGAATCTAATTGCATCTTCAAAACAGATCAGTTTTCTCTAAAGCCAAAGTTGAGAGGGGATGTGAGGTGAGATCGTGTGCATCACTGACCACGAATCTCTGAGAAGAATAACAAGCGCAAATATTGCAAATCCGATCACAAGTGCCTCTACTGTGTGAAATGCGAAGTGCACCTGTGCCCTCTCCCAGGTTGCAACTGTTTTCGGCAATGGACGAGATATAACGCTGTAAATGCTCAATGTCGCTCACAATCAACATTTCGGAAATATACTTACGAAAAAAAGTTATTTGCAGACAAGATTTCTGTTATTCTTTGTTTTGTAAAACCACGTCAGGATTTATAGGTATTCCCTATTTGAAGTAAACTTTCTGGCATCAAAGGGTTACCTTGGTTTGCACGCGACGTCATCGCTCCATATGCTGGTGGTCATTGCGACTTGTTCTAGCCGAGAAAATCAAATCCAATAGTGCAAAATGCACACTGCACAAGGTTCGTACTTAGCGTAAGCCATGTATTTGATAGGCACAAATTATTGATGCGAAAGCAATAACAATCCCATAGAGCGGAGCCGACGGCATCTGTAACCGCAAAAAGAAAACGCGAAAGAAATTCCTCTTCTCCCATTGAGCGAGTAAGGCGGCTCCTAAGGACCGATTGGCGGCCGCTTCACGAGAGCGCGTGCTCGGCCGCCGCTCTCGTGACAGGCGTTTTCGAAAAAGGGAGGGTGGCTGCGGCCGCTTCTGCTCCTCTCGGCGCCGGGGAACATGGCGGCTCCTGAGGCATTTATATCGTCGGCGGCTGCAACCTCGGCAGTGGCCGACCACGCCAGTACACCACAGACGAACTAAGGGAGCGGAAAAACGATATTCATGCTTTCGCATTCACAAATCTGAAGGGCATAGGTGTTCTTGGAATCGGTTCTCTTAGCGTCGTGATGAACGGCGCGAGCGTCTGGCACCTCAAAAGCGCGCTGTCTGTCAAGATTGTTTTTGCACACAAAGTAGTCTGCGAGGTTACACTTTCTGGTTCGTGCCGAGCATGCGGAGGGCAGGGGAATCTTCACAATACAATGTGTTTTGAAAACTGTCCCCCCCCCCCCCCCACCTTTTTTATTTTACTTTTTTATTTTATTTTTTTATTTTACTTTCTATTCCTGAGGAACTGCCTCCTCCGTTCGGGTGTTAACACGGCGGACAATTATGTTTCTGTTCCTTGATAACAGAAGCCCTCCGTTGATTTTATTTTGCACCCAAAACTGTGAAGCTTAAATAAAATTCTCAGGGTAAGAAATATCAACGGCACTGTGCAACTTAGAGCGGCTGCCAACGTTGTGCAGTCCCTCCGGGGTCACCATGATATCTCTTCTAAGGTATCCCTTTCGTACAAGTGTGTAGTTATATGTAACGTCGGATTCATAAGTAATATATAGTCCTTCCACTTTTCTCGGTAATAAAAAATTTTGGAGCAGTTCAGCAAACAACAAAAACTTGTTTGGGTGCCTCAGTGTACATGTAAGATGGGTCGTGCGACAATTTTTATATTTTTAGTAAATACCACTACAAAATAATCCCGGACGTTGATACCTTGAAAAAAAGCACCTATTAGTTGTCCCCTCCGCGCAATGGCCGACGCAGAAAAAATACATGAAACAAACTGCTTTTTCCTCAAATCGCAGTTACAACAAACGGCCAGGTGATCTGACACTAGTTATATACGGTCAATGTACACCATAGTTATGGGGTTGTCAAAGCATAGATCATGGGCTGAACATTAGGCATTGTTAAAGCTCGGCTATTCTCATCTTTGATTGAACACAAGCCATTACCCGAATGTTTTGCGATGCTGGTTGTCATGAATCCGAGCATGTGATTCGGGGTTATTAAAATCTCGTACGTCACGGAATCCCGTGACTCTTTGTGCGAAATGATGATGTCGTGTTACGTCACGGTTTCCGAACTTTAATAAATATAGTGGCGTTCTCAATTTAAATCGAGCTAAAGCATGAGTCACATGACCTCACCGGGTCACATGACGTCAGATTATTTGACAGCAAGTTTTGACACTATGACGTCACGTGACCACGTGAAACATGATTAATCGTAGTGCCCATAAAAAGCGCCACTAAACCCACCATTTTTCATGCATTGCAATTCTGTATATGACGATTTGATCAGTACATAAAAATACAGCTGCCAATATTTTATTCCCAAATATTCATTGTGTGCAACTAACAAAAAATTATCGTGAACCCCTCTGAACGGGTTGACGTGATATTGATTTTTTTTAGTTTAGGTTCAGTTTTAAAATGGGGTAGAAGATATCGGTTCAGTTCCGGTTTGGTTAAAAATGACGGTTCGTTCCCGGTTTTCGGTTCGGTTCCGGTTCGACACCCTGCTGAGGAGGTCCTTCCTCTCTAACCAAGTCGTTTGACACATATAAGGAATACCAACACGGGGCTGTTGGACTCCCCAAATAAAGTCCGACTGATCCACTGTTTTTAATTGTAATTTAATTGTAATCACCACCTAAATCTAAATCGTCACAAGAACAATTCGACTCCTGGTGTAATTGTCGCCGTAAGAAAGGGATGGTTGGCTTCAGTCCTAGGCAGGCGCCGGTACCATGGCACCACCTGGCTCTCGAGCCTGCCTGCCATTGCTCGGCTGAGAAGGCAACCCCTTATGTTGAATGTGGTCACCTGATTTGATGACGTCCGATAGTTTTCTGATCAGCAAAACGCCCCCTCAAATGCAGCTCGGAAGTCCTTATAAAACGTATCGCTGTAATGGCTGCAGCATGTCCAGCAGATGCTTCACTCGGCGCAGGTCTACTCTGGTCCCGACGACTGTGACTTTGACTGACTTTCCCCTGAACAATCGCCGGTTTTTATTTCGAGGAAGTAAACGTTATTCGATGTCCTACCGGTGTACAGTGTATTCCTCTTTTTTCAGAGCCGAAGCGCAGATATTCTATGCCGCATCATACTCATCGCAACATCAGATGTCTAGAATGGCACTCACCCTCTGCCACGCTGTCAAAGAAGGCCTGTTGGAACCCCGGTAAGCCCCCTTGCTGTAATTGGGCAGTATTTACAGGTTCAACAAACAATTGTTGCTCGCAGGGGGCACCTGTGAAAGCAGGTGTTTGGAAAGTGGCGTCTCCACGGACCCCCAGCCATGCGGGTTCGCCCGCCCACGTCTGGCTGTACGTGGCCTTCCCGTGTCTGGGGGAAAGGGCATCCTGGTGGTTGAGCCGAGCCCGGGGTAGGTTCGGACCCTTCGGGGGCCCCCGGGTGAGGGAATACACCACTTCGGCCCTCGCTTCCCAATGACGGGAGTCCTGGTAAGGCCGGTCAGGATGATTCAGTCTAGTCGCCAGTTCTTCTGCTATCCCCTCCCTTCTTTCACCCTTGTCTTCTCCTTCTTTTCACTCTTCTCATTTCTCTTCTTTCCTTTTCAACTCCTTTGGCGGAAAGGGCTAACCTTGGGGGGTGACAGACACTCTCGTCCAGATCCACACTTGTTTATAGTTTCTGGGTAGCTCTAATAGAGTAATGCTTCCAGCAAAGGCATATTTGTTATGGAGTGTTACCTTTTCCCTTGTTGGGCTCCGTGGTGGGCGGCGCACCACAGATTCCGAACACCCTTTGCCTTTTTATGGCGTCCCTTTCTTCTAAACCTCGAGCAGCTCGACCCCCAAAAGGGTTCGCCCCACTCCCCCTACTTTTGCAAAAGCCCAAGAACCCGACACCTTTTCACGTTTTCTTGTAATTCATGCTGCAAACGACAGTCTACCGGTGTCAAAGATGTCACCTTTCCTTGTCTCTAAGGTCCTAGAGCAGACGATCGGAATTCACAAGGCAAAAAAAACTTGCTGGGGACCCCCTCGTTGAGGTAGAAAAAAGAACTCAAAGCACAGTATTACTCAAGTTGACAAGCTTAGGCGAACACCAAGTTTGTGTAACCCCGCACCGCACTTTGAATACTGTCCGCGGCGTCATCTCTGAGGATGACCTCCTTCAGTGTACTGAAGAGGAAATCCTTGAAGGGCTGCGTCGGAGTGCTGATGTAGCCGTGCGGCGAATCACCCTACGACGCGACGGACAGGAGATACCAACCCGACATCTAGTCCTGAGTTTCGAACTCCACTCTCTGCCTCCCACCGTGAAGGCAGGGTATCTAAACTGCAGAATTCGTCCTTTCGTTCCGAACCCACAGCGGTGCTTTCGTTGCCAGCGTTTTGGGCATGGCTCCCGAAACTGCGGCGGCCTAGAAACTTGTGCGAAATATACTGCCACTGACCACGTCGCTGACATATGTGAAAACAACCATAAATGCATAAACTGTGGCGGACCACACCCCGCATTTTCCCGCACATGTCCGAAATGGAAGGAAGAAAAAGAGATTATTACATTTAAGGTCAAACACAATCTCAGCTACCAAGACGCTATAGAACAGCTTGCCTTCAAGGCAAGGGGCTCATATGCCGAGGCAGTGCGAAGGGGACCCCCACTGTCTATGGCATCCGTGGAGACGCAGACTTCCCCGGATGACCTGTCATCTCCACAAGGGTCCTTTTACGTACGTCCGAAGACGGTGGGCAACCCACTGCCTTCATGCTCCCATGGGGTTGTTGTGACCTCTAAGGAGGGTGCTACACCCTCCAAGGAGCCAGACGTGCCGTCACCGGCACCAGCTGGCCCTTCTGGCCGGGGTCGGGGGCTGCCTCCCCGTGCCTCTGGCAGCTCTTCAAAGCCTGGGCGGTCAGACTCACCTCTGCCGTCCAAAGGACCCAAGGTCTCATTGGATGAGAAAATGGATGTGAGCATCCCGCTCTCCGATGAGGACCTTCCTCTCTCTAGATAAGGGTCTTTTTCCTCGGCCTCCTGCGAGGCTGGAAGAAGGCCTAAGGACACTGAAAAAAAAGAAAACCATCCCACGGATCGTGGCACCAAACGACACATAAACTATATTTCACAATTTTCGTATAAAAGACTTATTGAGGCGTTTCCTTTATTGAAGCTAAATGTCTTTCTTCCTTCAGTGGAACTGCAGAGGCCTCCTGCCTAACTACGATGATGTGAGCTATCTTTTAAAGGATCACCGGCCCATTGCATGTTGCTTACAGGAAACGCACCTAAAGACCACCCACACTAATGTTTTAAAACACTTCCAGGTGTTTCGTAGGAACCGTACACATGCAGCTCACGCAGCTGGAGGTGTTGCGGTGGTTGTGTAACGTTCAGTTCCTCCTACCGAGGTAGCCCTGCAGACTTCATTGGAGGCAGTGGCTACACGCATTTTGTTAGATCGAATAATTACAGTCTGTTCTTTGTGTGTACCTTTCAATTATCAGTTACATATGAAAGAGCTAAAAGACCTTGTTAATCAACTTCCTTCACCTTTTTTACGTTTAGGAGATTTTAACGCACACAATCCCCTGTAGGGTAGTGACAGACGGGATTCTGGAAAGTCCCTTGTTGAACGTTTTTTGCTTTCTGCTGGATTGTGCCTGCTAAACACAAATAAATCTACATATTTTAGCTCAGCAACTCACTTTCACTTCCATTCACCTATCTATTTGTCACCCATCATCATTATTCCCATTGCTTTTATGGAAGGTCATCCCGAATCCTCAAGGAAGTGACGACTTTCCGATCATCATAGAATTTAACCATCCTCCCATGACAGTCCCAACACGTTCTCCTCGTTGGAAATTCGAAAATGCCAACTGGCCTCCAGTTCCGAACATTACACCCAAACGTTCCAGCGACAAAAGATAACTGCAGAAAAAAATCTGTTATCACATCAGGTGGCACGCACGAACCCTATAATACTCATTTTACATTATACGAACTTCAAATGGCACTTCTTTGTTCCAAACAAACTGTCCCTGGGACCAGATGGTATTCATTATAAAATGCTCGGACATCTTCATCCATCCACTATGGAGCTAATTTTGTACCTTTTTAATCGAGTTTGGCTCGAAGGCCACTTTCCGTCCTCCTGGAAGATCGCTGTGGTTGTACCAGTGCTGAAGCCCGGCAAAGATCCCTCTTGTGCATCTAGCTACAGACCAATAGCTCTAACTAGCTGTCTTTCCAAGACATTAGAAAGGATGATTAACAAGAGAGTTATGTTTTTTCTGGAATGAAACAACTGCCTTGATAAGTTCCAGTGTGGCTTTCGGTCAGCACGGTCCACTGTCGATCATCTCGTCCGCTTTGAGACCTTTGTACGTGAGGCTTTTGCCAACAGGCAACAGAGTCCATCTTCTTTGATTTGGAAAAGGCATACGACATGGTCTGGCGTTACGGCATACTGCAAGATTTATTCGATCTTGGTTTCCGTGGCCGAATGCTGAGTGCTATAGAGAGTTACCTGCAGCTCCGTACTTTCCGCGTGAGGCTGGGAAAAACTCTCTCTAAGGAGTTTTTACAGGAAAATGGAGTCCCTCAGGGGGACTCCATTTTCCTGTAAGTGTCACTCTTTTTACTGAGTGTCACTCTTTTTATCGTCAAACTTAATTCCATTCGCCGTGCAATTGCACCTTCGGTGCAATATTCTTTATATGTCGATGATCTCCAGATCTCCGTTTCATCCTGTAATTCCTGAATTTTTGAACGTCGCGTCCAACTTGCGGTCAAAAATTTGGTCAGATGGGCGGATACGAATGGTTTTATCCCGAAAAAACAGCTTGTGTCAGCTTTTCTCGTCGACGTGGTGTTCTTCAGAAACCGTCTTTGAACATGTATGGTTCTCCTATCGTTGTAAAAAATGAACACAAGTTTTTGGGCCTTGTGTTCGATTCCAAGTTGACTTTCGTTGCAGAGATTAAGAGCTTAAAACTCAATTGCCTTAAATCTCTGAACATCCTTAAGGTCTTGTCACATGCAGCATGGGGCTCTGACCGACTGTGTCTGTTGCGTATCTATCGCTCAGTCATTCGCTGTCAGCTTGATTATGGTTCGATTGTCTATAACTCTGCTCGGGCATCAGTTCTAAAGATGTTAGATCCTATTAATCATCAAGGACTGCGATTGGCTACTGGTGCATTTCGCACCTCCCCAATGCTTAGCCTTTACGCAGAAGCAAACGAACTGTCCCTTGAGTATAGGAGGTTTTCCCTGGGTTTTATGTACTCTGTCAGGGTGCGCTCTGTCACGGAGCACCCCGTTCGAGAGAATATTGAGATCATGAAGTTACAACGCACATTTGAAAACAAACTACCATAGTCCCCCCTTTTTCTATGAGGAATAATACTGCAGCACAATCTGTTGGGATGGATGCAAAGCCTCAGTTAGTCCAGTCCCACCAGATATAGCTCCATGAAACAGCTGCCACATACATTGCGACCTTACGCTGACCAAGTATAACAGAAAGGATGTTCCACAGGAAGTCATAAGGCAGGACTTCTCTGAGCTTCGGACCACATATCACGAGTATGCCAGTTTTTATACGGACGGGACGAAAAAAGACACGATAGTAGGCTGTGCTATGAATGTCAGAAATGCGATGGCGCATGTCTAAGTGGCACACACAATGTCTGAAGGTTCGACAAGCTCTCTCGTCGTCAGACTTCAGCGTGAAATCTAGATTTCTCGAACGCAAAGCGAAAAGTATGTCCCGCCACAACCCGGAGCTCTGCAAGGCAGGTTTCCTGCAAGAGTGGTGTGTCTAAACGTGGCGCACGTGTCTGCTTCTCCGCCATTTAGTTACTCTAGGATTTATTTGGTTACAGCGACATAACTGCAAGTCTGATCGACCGCTACATCGAAATCGAAGATGGCCCCATGATCGACTGTTACCTGCGGACATCTGGCGAACGCAGGCTGAGCGATTTCATGACCTGGCAGTCCGAACGTGCAGCCATCTACTTCCTGACAAAGAATTTCCCCGATTTCGTTTTGCTGGACATGTTCAAGATGATGCTTCACTATTCAGCACCTTCGTCTTCAAGAAAGGTAAGTTTTAGTACAAGATATAAACGCGTCTAAATTTGTTTTCCCTTCTAAATGTCTGAGTGTATTTCAAATTTATTGGATATCATCTGTTACTAAGGGGGATTCCCCCGCCCGTCATTCAATGGTCAAATTTCGCTAAGGAAACCTGAGTTTCGGAAATGCACGTGTGATGATCATTTTGGCGGTTAATTAGAAGGACATAAAGAAGGTCGTGCAGCCATTGGGTCTTCTCCTCAGAGCACTGGACAGTTCTTTAATACAGAAATGTTACCGTTTGGTCCGTTTTAGCTCATTTTGGGTCAATTTTAAAATTAAGTATATTGAGAAGATAGAAATGACAAAACGAATTGTAGTACGTGTTAGAGGTGTCTTTTATTTTAATTTGAAGATCCTGACGGGAAGAATAAATGTGGCATTTGCGTATTTGCATAAACACACTTGACGGGACAGTACGCTTAACGATGTATAGCGATCCGTATAGCGATGTCTAACAACAAAGTTCGCGCTGCCAAAATCGCAATACTCCGTCGCGTATTCGTCGGCACCAAACCTCATGCTACAAAAGGTCGATGAACACCGCCAACGCCAATACATGATGTCAAGGCGTCGATCAGTTGTGCGAGCGCTGGCCGTTGGTCCCTGGGGGCCGGACGCCTAACGGACGCCTAGATCGGCAGAAAACATAGCTCGCCTATATCGGCGGCAAACAGGCTGTGGGCCGAGCCAACCCCCAGCACGCGACCTGCATGACAGGCTGCCCAACTTGCCTTCGCATTACTGCGCTACAAAAGACGGGCAGCAAAACCTTGCCTCCGCCAGTCACAATACATTGGCATCGTGCAGTTGTGTTGACCTTCGTCGCCTCTTATGACCCATACTAGTGTTTACTCAAACAAGAATCGCCAAGAAAGGCAAAATACGCGCAAAGATAAGTACTGAACATGTTGTACGACCGGAACTTTGCATCGCAAAAATGGTGAAAGCGCTAAACAAGGTCAGGAGAGAGGGTGTAAGCGTACGTAAAAGCGTACGTAAAAGCTTAAAGCTTATTCTCTCTTAGGAATACGCCAGCAAAAGTCTTTAGCGCTTTCTTTTTTTTTTTTTTGTTAGTTTACGTGGAAATCGGCGCGTTAGTCGCGCAGCAGCAAGGCCATTGGCAAGCCTGTCAGTGAAGGGTTATTCACACGAGGGAGAAATCCCGGGGATTTCTCCCCGGCACGCGCATCCCACGACGAAAACGTCAGGCTTTGCGATGTGCAAAAGCCTCGCGTTTTCATCTCGTGATGCGCGCGTGCCGGGGAGAAATCCCCGGGATTTCTCCCTCGTGTGAATAGCCCCTAAAGGAGCGCATGTTAGACGTTAGACGCCATAGTTAGACGCCATAGTATACGCCCAACCAATGACTTTGCGGCGCGCGAGGGGGAGAGCGAGCGTTGCCGCACCGCTCGTAGCTTTGCCTCTAAACCATTCTCAGTGACGTCAAATACTTTACTAAAAAAATACAGGGCCCGTTTGTTTGAAGCCGGTTATCTTTAACCGCTGTAAAACGTTAGCCGCATTTTCAGTAGTGTTGACGATTAGGCTAGTTGGTCATTCATATTAGCGGAAAACAAACAGCGCGAGGACAAGGACAGTGTAGAAGGCGGTAGACACACACAGTACTGACTTATAACTGAGCTTTATTGGCACTGACAACCTCTATAAATACACAATTTGCCCGGCCCAAAAGCCAAGAACAGAAACAACACAAGACTGCACTGTCCTTGTCCTTGCGCTGTTTGTTTTCCGCAAACCGCATTTCCCTGCGAGGGGAAATTTTAGGTCACGTGACCGGCAGGGTAAGGACAGCGGGGAACATGGCGGTGCTCCTGCGAGCGAGCGTCGCTCGCTTCGGAACTAATATGTCGTAGTAGCTGCAATATCGGGCGCGTAAGTCAGCAATAAAAGGTGCAGGAGGCTTTCGTTTTGCCTTACCTCACTTAAATCGCACACCATGAGCAATGACCTCGCCCCATTTTAATGCGAAAGCATTAAAGGGAAGATGGGGCACTTCTACATTTGAGAAAAAACGCCTGAATTGCGTTCATTTGGCCTTTAGAATAACAGATATCAAAATTATATTTCAATGCGACGCGCCGGAGAGCCACAAGAGCAATTTCAAAATAGGGCTGAAGCCCCGCCCCCCTAGCCTTGGGCAGCCAAAAGAGCCGTCGATGACGTCACGGACAGCGACTGTCTTTCGCGTTTTTCTCGCGTTTAACAATACTTACGCAGCAAATGGTTTGGGTATTCGGGTTCATAGGGTAAAAATACACTAGAATTCACTTCTAACTCAATTTTTCCAAGAAGCTCCGTAGCTTCCCTTTAACTGGGGGTCTCATGGAGCGAGCCGTGTCAAACGGCACTTTAAATCCTTTCTCCAAGTGAAGCCAGCTCCCAGCTATGAAACCACGCGAAAAGCCAGCCAACTGCACCAACATTCCCCGATTCCAAAGGAGCGAAGTAAAGGTGATTGATTATCGGCTTCGGTCCCATTGGCGGGCGCCCATCGACGAGGCTCCCATTGGCCACTGCGCGTCAGTTTCAACGACCGCTCACCCCATGGCGCTGCGCGTCCGTTAGCGCGTCGTTAACAGGGAGCGTCCAAGGTGAGCACGCCCAGGAGAGCGCGCGAGCTGACCGGCGACGAAATAAGGAAGCGGGCGTGCGGCTTAGCATGCTTTCGCATTCACAACTCATAAGAAGGTATACCTTGAACCCATTTTAAATAGTATTTCGATTCTGTACATTCCTAAGCTTGAATCAACGCGATAATTGTCGGCACGGCAGCATCTTTCGAATACTAAAGTGGATTGACTTGACTCAATCGGCAGGGTATGATAGCACGCAGAAGCAGATAGCGTCCCAATAGACCTTTTGCTAAATTTGCCAAGCACCAAGGTGCATGCTATGAGTGTAGTTACACATGCTGCACGTGCTGGCATGCAGCTTAGCCTCCTCTATACTCACAAAGCCTGGCAGTTCGACGACGGAGACGTAGAGTGCCCGGTCGCAGATTTGGAGCACGAGGATCTGGTAGCACAGAGCATCAAAGAGCCATTTCTCAGCGAACCTGGACATCAGTGCACAGCTTCTTGCAGCGGCGAGGACCGGAAACACACTTGTTCGCTCGGGAGAAGTGTGTTTCGGAGTCTGCCATGGCGGGGCGCCAGTCACGTGGCCTTCCTCTGATCCGTTGTTTGCCGCTCCACCTTTTTCCATTTCGACGGCCGCGTCTCGTGGCGACCTGCCAGTCTTTGTCAGCATTTTATAGGGGTCTATGGCAGCAGTAACTAGGGTGTCTTCATGTGCGCTTTGCTTAGGGTGGAGACATCCGGCCATTTTGTCCCACACTTTTTTTTTTATTTAGAAGCGCGTGAAAGAGCGTGACCTTGCACGCGTTTGTGGCGCTGACTGCGCTATGGAGACACTTTGTTTTCTTTGATTTCTTCGTATTTTACCCACGGGTGCTGTCGGCATCGGGTACTACAAAGGGTGGCATCACCCTAAACAGAAGGACATTGAGGCACCCAAGTAGTAGCCATTCTAAAGCTAAAGCCTGAAACAAATTTTTTTCTTGCACGCACGTTCGTCAAAGCCTTATTATGGTTATTTACTTCGAATATTTTATACGGGGAAGGGCCAGCGCGCGAGGAGCGTAGAATTACATTTTCAGCATTCTCTCGATGCTTGGCTAATTTAGTAATAGGTCTATATTCACTAAGGCCGAATTACATGGTTTTCAATTTATGATGGTGTTATATATTATTGTTACATGCAAAGCTGCCTGTGTACCACCCACCTTTGACTGCTCACTTCATCATCATCGTTTCTAGGACTGAACTTCGTCGGCCTCTTTCGAACTTGGAGAAAACTTTCAACAAGGATTGTCTTCACTTCAGACAGCCTAACATTTAGAAATGTTTTAAACAAGGATTAATTTATTTTTACTTTACCCAGTATCTCTACCACAAGCAACAAAACGTGTTTCTTAAGCTCAAGTGTATGCCGCGCTGCGTCGCAAAAACCCGGTAGGGGGCATTTCGTTTTTCGGAAACTTTTCCACGAAACCCACTTATATTCGCTACAACCAGTAGGTGACACCAGCTACCTCCCCATAATAAAACACCAAGCTATTGCTCATCCAGCCCTCGTAAAACTTGGCTCGGTACTTGTAGATACCTAGTACGGAAGGGCGGTTAACTTTTTACCGCGGTTAAAGTCGACTGGCTTCGAGCAAACAGGACCAGGGCACCCTCCTCATTCGCATTAAACAAAATGACGGCAAATAACCCCTGGGTCCGTTTTCTCGAAGCGCAAACCATGGCTAAAGTTAGCCACAGTACTTAGGAGAGGAATTATTTTAAAAATCAGGTGACTGGAGGATGGGGGGAATATGGCGGTGCCCTGGTGAGCGAGCGCCTCTCGCTTTAAAACTATTATGTCTTCGTAGCTGCAATATCGTGCGCATCAGTGAGCAATGAATGGAGCAGGAGATTTTCACTTTGCCTTACCTCACTTAAATCGCAAAGCATGAGCAATGACCTTGCCGCATCTTGTAAATAGTCTTTCTATTCTGGCCATTCCTAAGCCCCAATGAACGCGATAATTGTCGGCATGGCAACGTATTTGGAAGATGGATTGCCTTGACTCAATCGGCCGGGTATTGATAGCACACAAAAGCAGACAGCGTCCTAATAGACCTTTTACAGCGCAGCTCTTAGGGGCCCGTTTCCGGCTTGAGCGGCGTCGCCGTCGGCGTCGGCGTCGCCGTCGGCGTAACCGCGCGGTGCATCATGGGAAATGTCCCATAATGCACCACGCGAGCCCCCCACCGGGGTCACGTGACCCCCCGAAATCACGTGACTCCCCTGAGGTCACGTGACCCCCGCCAATGTCGCGTGACCCCCCGATGACGTCATCGTCACTGATGACGTCACCGGCATCCACATCGTCATCGTAATCATCACTGATGACGTCACCGGCATCCACATCGTCATCGTCATCATCACTGATGACGTCACCGGCATCCACATCGTCATCATCACTGATGACGTCACCGGCATCCGCATCGTCATCGTCACTGATGACGTCACCAGCATCCACATCGTCATCGTCATCACTGATGACGTCACCGGCATCCACATCGTCATCGTAATCATCACTGATGACGTCACCGGCATCCGCATCGTCATCGTCATCATCACTGATGACGTCACCGGCATCCACATCGTCATCGTCATCATCACTAATGACGTCACCGGCATCCACATAGTCATCGTCATCATCACTGATGACGTCACCGGCATCCACATCGTCCTCGTCATCATCACTGATGACGTCACCGGCATCCGCATCGTCATCGTCATCATCACTGATGACGTTACCGACATCCGCATTGTCATCGTCATCATCACTGATGACGTCATCAGTGACGTCACTGATGTCGTCACCGGCATCCGCATCGTCATCGTCATCATCACTGATGACGCAATCATCACTGATGACGTCACCGACATTCGCATCGTCATCGTCATCATCACTGGTGAAGTCATCAGTGACGTCACTGATGACGTCATCGGTACCCGCATCGTCATCGTCACTGATGACGTCATCAGTGACGTCAGTGATGACATCATCGGCATTGGGGGTCACGTGACCCCCAAGGTCACGTGACCCCCCCCTGGTTAGTTTAACCCCCCCCCCCCAGTGCCCTTCCCTCCTCCTCCCCAAGAGCTGCGCTCTAATTCGGCGTTACAGGGAGTTGTAAGCCGCTTTCATTTTTCTAAATTTCCTAAGCACCGAGGTGCATGCTACGATTGTATACACGCGTTGCACGGGCTGGCGTCTGCAGTAGTAATTGTTCCATAGCAAAAGGTCTGAAACAAATTTTGCCTAGCACGCGCGTTCGTCAATGCCTTATTATGATTATTTAATTAGTTCGAATCTTTTATGAGGAAGGCCAGCGCGCGCGGACTGTCGAATTACACTTCCAGCGTTCTCCTCGATGCTTGGGTAATTTATGGCGAATTCCACTGGTCGTTTTGGAGCGCTTTTTGATTGACTTTTCTGGAACGATCCTATTTCACTGGGCGATCGGGATCGAGACGGACGTGTTCCACTGGTCGTTTTAGATTAGTTCCCGCTCCAGATCTCGATCTGGATCCGAGAAAAGTCGCTCCGCCGATTTCGGCGGATTCAACCGGAAACCAGCCGGGTCAGCCCTCGGCGCACACACGTGACTTCCTTCCTCGCGGGGCATCTCGCCTGATCTCGCCCATCTCGCCTCAGAATAATTCGTAATGGCCGCTCGGGAGGTGCCGCCTGTACCGCCAGCTGCTTGACGACAATTCGTCGTCAAGTTGCTCGAGCAGCTTCCGGCATTCCGGCAATCTTTGCTGGAAGCTCCTGAGCCATTCCTACCGCTCGTGCGTCGAACACGTGTTAGCGCCGCGATTGCGAAAACGTCTTCGAAACGACTGCGGCGGCCGCGGAAAGGGGATTCCCTTGCAGGTGAATGACGGGAAGGCATCCGCCGATCCCGAAGCAATGGTAATATTTCACTGGGGATCCGTAAGCGGCGCGACCCCGTTCGGATTGTGTGCTCCATTCCGGATCTGGTCAACTGATCCCGGCGCGCTCCAAAACGCCCGGTGGAATTCGCCATTAGAAAAAGGTCTATTGGGACGCTGTCTGCTTTTGTGTGCTATCAATACGCGGACGATTGTGTCAAGGTCACCAGCCGGTCGTGGTCAAGGCAATCCGCTTTCCAAAGACGTTGCATGCCGACAATCGTCGCGTTCATTTAGGCTTAGGACTGGCCAAAATCGAAAGACTAAAGTTGAAGCCTGGGCGAGTTGGTATGACATACTTAAAAGGTTAAAACAGCGCAAAAAACGACGGACAGGGTAAAGAAGGACACAGACTGAGCGCTATCTTTGTTTTTTCATCTGTGTTCTTCTTTCTATCTAAAAATACGGCGAGGTCATTTCTCACGTTCTCCGATTTAAGCGAGGTAAGGCAAAGTGAAAGCCTCATGCACCATTCGTGTCTGACTAACGTGCCCGTTATTGCAGTCGAAACGACAAACTAGTTCCAAAGCGAGCGGCGCTCACTCACCGGGGCACCGCCATATTTCCCCGCATTCCTACTGTGCCAGTCACGTGATTTCAAAATCCGTCTCCTAGGTACTGCAGCTAACCTTAGCCGCGGTTAGCGCTTCGAGCAAACGGGCCCCGGTGGAGTGGTTCATTTGGCGATGTCTGTCTCCCCACCCGCCTCATCTCGTCCCCAGAGCACGCGAAGGCGACGCCTTGGATAGCCTCGGAATGCGCTGCAGATGACGAGGTCGCGGATTCGAAGAAGGTACCGCTGCCGCCGTCGCGCGTACCTTCATTAAAATTTCCTTATCATCTTTTAGAGCGCAGCTCTTAAGCGCCCGTTTCCGGGTTGAGCGGCGTCGGCGTCGGCGTAACCGCGCGCGTTGCATTATGGGAATAGTGCAACCGGGCGTATCCGCGCGTTTCATTATAGGAAAATATTACCTTAAGTCCCGCTAAGTTTAGCGGAAACTTTTCACTAAATTTGCCCCTAAATCTATCAGAAAAATTTTGCGAAAATTTCCCACTAAGTGGAAGGAGAGGAGGAGGGGACGGTATGGGAGGGGGAGGAGGGGGCATACCCTCCGTACCGTGCCCTCCTCCTCCTCAAGAGCTCCGCTCTAATTCGGCATTACAGAAAATTGTAAACGTCTTTCGTTTTTTTTTTCATGTATTCTCGGGGAGGTCCTGAATTCCCCTGGTAAAGTATTTGGTGACGCCTTCGGTTTTTTCCACCACAGAACAATCAAACGGTGACAACCGGTCGATCTCTTAACGCGCTAGCTTATTTTTAAGCAATTTCCAATTTCCTCAAATTTCTGTCGTTACGTTGCAGAGCATTTGAGTGCGCAAAAGTGTGGTAGCTGGCCAAATTGAGCAGAAACACCAGAATTCGGATAGTCCCTTAAAAGAACCGAACCCCAGGCCCCCAGACCGTGAACATGGCTCAGCCACAGTGAAATGAGGATTTTTTCTTTTTTATTGTAGGCGAAGGGGAAGTTTTGAGAAGCGAAAGTTGTTCCGTTATTCTCAGAGCTTGTAAAGGCTAGTTTACATCTATGCATCTGACGGTGACCACCCCTGTTGCGACTTCTTGTGGTTACAAACACACGGGCACACTGGCGCCATCTATCAGTTGTCTGGTCATTAGCAATCACAAGCTGTCGTAACGCAGTTGCTCACAGTCAAATGCAAACGTCTAAACCAGCCTTTGAAGTACATGTGAAGTTCTTTTCTCCTTTTCGCATGAATGTGCGGGTCACGGCACAGGCGCTTATGTTCAGCGTATTGGATGGTTTTCATTCGCTATTATATGTGAATAAATGACCCTTTTCCCTGGCAAGCGTGCTTTTGTGCCTGGTACAAACTGCAAATTGGAGCAGTTTTGAAAGCACTCAACTGTTTTCCAAAGCAAACTCGCATCCGTATGTCATTGTACAAGATGAACCTCGGTGTGCGTGAACAGTGCCCTTTTTTTTAACGCTCATATCCTGTAGAATGTACACCGTTCGTTTTCTGGTTCCTGTCTTCTTTGAGTGTGTCTCTCAATCTTCCCACCCCCTTCTCCCAGTACGAAGTAAACAGCTGAATAACTCCTATCTTTTAACTCATCTTTCTTCCTGCTTTGTCCCTTTTCTTTATTTCCTATTCCTTCTTTTCGTCCATCTAAAAATGGCGATTGATCTGTTGGAATCTTTCCAGCGCTTGGAGGATTGTTACCTCAAGGTCCGGAACCGTACGGAGCGGAGGTTCAGTGTTGCGCAGAGGCTGAAGGAGCGCAAGTTCCAGTCCTGGCTGGAGGCGAAGCGACAGGCTCACCTGCGTCTCCTCGCCGGAAGCGACCATTAAAGGAGCGATGCAACAATTTTTGTACTTTACGCAAATACCGCTTAAAACGGATCCCTAATTGTTAATGACGTATGAAACACGCGTTCGTTTTTCACCCCACGCAATAGAAGTCCCAGAAAAAAAATTAAGAAAAACGAGCAGCGTTCACCCCCTCAACTCGCAGCCAGAACAAGCGGCCACGTGATCTGGAGCCGATTATATGCCGCCAGTGTTGATCATAGCCACGCGCTAGGGTTGGCAAAGCGCAGGACACGCGCTGAGTTCCAGACATTGTTATAGCTCGGCTGTTGTCGTCGTTGAGGCGATTGGACACGGGTCACTACCCGAATGCTTCTCGAGCTTGCAATTATCACGAGCCCAAGTCGAGTGTCCACGCAATGCTCGGGTCCAATCTATGAACCGCATTCAAATATCGTCACTTGGGTGTACTGCGATCCCCACGTTACGTCATCAAATTTTGCAAAGGAGAGATTGAATGAAAATGATCGCTTTTGTCCTTGAAATTACACCGCAACAAAGGAGTTTCTTGGCCAGTGGCGTTGCGTGTGAGTATCCTTGAGTCCCAGGTATGCCAGTAAGCTCGTGTCAAGTGAAAAACATTTCAATTGAATATCGTTGCACCGCTCCTTTAAGCCCGCCTTTGACAGGCGTGCACGACACGGTGATCTGTACACGACTTGCGGATGGGCATTAAAAAAATGAGAAGTAAAAGTACTCTCCCTCTCTTTTAACGAGAGTCATTGACAGATTAGAGAGTTTTAGAATATCGTACGCAAAGAATGGCGTCGTCGCCACCGCGGATGCGCCGAACGCTAACCGGGTTTTTCGCTTTGCGCTTTGCGTGCACCATTTCAGCCTATGCTATCTTTTTATTTTTTTGCGTGCTAACTCAAAGAATTTTGGCGCTCCTCCAAGAAGGATTTCTGATGCGCGAGAAGTTGGCAAGACGGGCATAGTGAGAAAATGGCGGACCGCAGCTGCCGCACCCTCGACCGCTTTAGCTGTAGTAGTCGTGAGCGCGACGTCGGCGGCATCCACGCGACATTGCACTTCTACGGGAGGTGCACGTCACGAACGGCTTTGGAAGACCCAGCAAGCTGAGCTACGATCGCCGGCCACTTGCTGCATGCGACCAGCGAACGTTTCTGCGCGAAGATATACGGTGTGGGAAGGTCAGTACTCCAGGCCTTGCCGAGGCGACACAATCGGACACCACCGGCCGACCACTCCCATTGGATTGTTATATTTAAACAAAATTGAAAATGTTACTCGGGACCAAAAAGCTTTTTTCTATAAAGTTACAGCATTTCATGCGTGACATAAATATTCTTACTATATCTTGACGGTGCTGAAAACGCGAAAGCTTGGGTTTTTGCGTCGCGGCGGATAAACGCTGTTCTAAAACTCTCTCGCGTAGCGTGCGTTAATGCGCAGACTACAGCGTGCGCTAAAAATGCGTACTTTATTATAACACTCCTTGTTAAGAACGGAGTAGATGCTCCACTTCGTTCATGAGACTTCCCGTTTCTTTACAGCTGAGTTTCAATTTGCACAAATACGCTTTGATATTTTAAAGTAGAGTGTATCCACATCTTGTTATACAACGATGATCCTGGTCAAACGTTTTACATATTTATGTTAAAAATGTATATGCAATAACCAGGCTCTTGATGGTGGCATTCAGCTATATGAAAACGCCGAAGCTATTTTTCTTTCGGAGATATGAAATTTCGAACCGCGAGGCGTGGGGACTGCCAAAGTTTCACTACGATGGTTTGCACAGCTGTCAATTTCACGCCGAATCATGCACGTCATAAGTTTTTTCTTAATATATATATATATATATAAGGTTTATAACATGTGGAATGAATATTTAAAATTACAATAAAATATATCTATAAAAACGATTTTCGTGATACGTCAGATAAACGCGTTTTAGAGACACGTTCACAAATCATTTATTAACAAACTACTTCATATTAAACGGCCCAAAGCATATAACATTTGCCTTTTTAATTGCGTTTGACACGTTTATATTAAAAATATGCTTAGCCGTTTTTGTAGTTTTGTCATTAGCGGGAACGCTGCTCATTTCTTTAGATGTGGCAAAATTGCGCATCAATATACAAAACAAAAACTGCATATTTTATTTTCTTTAAACTCTCCTTAGCCAATAACAGTGACTTGAACTAATTTGAGATAGCGAAATATTGGGTAACATATCAACTCCTTAACAAACGAAATGACAACAAACCTTCGCTAATTTTGTGCTAGCTGGTTTTTGTTACAGTAACCTCGCCGCAGGACATCGATTCCAATAAGACATTTTCTAGAACCGACAAAGACTGTACATCAGTGCTGCTCTACCGCAGGTTGTAAAAAGTGATGCTGTACCTAGTTGATCTTTATATTTGTATTCTCTTGCGTTGTCTCTCAAGCTCCCCCCCCCCCCCCCCCCCTCGCCTTTTTTTTCTGAGAACACGTCTAAACTGAGCGTAATTTCGGAGCACCGTAATGTGGGTGTACTTAATGGGTTCCGACTATGCCCCCAGGCTTCTTACTTAACTTATACCTTGAAATTTATTATTTATAAAATAAATTACTAAAGTAGTTAACCTAATTCTATAAAACATTGACTTTTTTCAAAAGATGCCCTTTGGTAGAGACCACTACAACATTTTTTTCAGTGCGATGCGTACCTTTCACAGGAGCGGTTTAGCCTGCGTTTAGTTAATCACCTTGTATGTATAACTGACTGCTGCTTTAAAGGAGATGACTTTCATATAGGATATATTTTTCAAAGGTTTACAAAATATGACCGGCACCTTTATTGTATCAACTGGCATAAATAAAGAAAAATAAAAAAAATGTGGTTAACAACTTTTATATGCCATCAAAAATACAGAGTTATGTCATTTTAATTAAGTGCAATATATTGAAAAGATGTTGCCCTACGAAGCAAGACACGCAGCCCTACAGTCACTCTGAGTGCGGAAATTGTTCGGGCCCTGGAGGCATCTTGGCTCTACGGGGTCCACGTGCCTGCATCCAAGGTGGCCGTCCTGGTATCTCCAAGAGTACGCGGGGAAGCGGAGCTGGTCTTCGCTGCACCGTTCTGCGACGGGTACCACGCCGCACAGGGGGTGGCTGTGTTCCAGGCAGCCCTGGTGGCAGTCCTGGGCCGCCTCGAAGGCGCTCAGGCGCGCGCTGACGCAGTCGCCATCTGGGAAGTCCCATTGGGAGCACGTGCCGTTCAAGAAGAACCACCACCTCCGGTTGACGTGCGCCTGGGAGCAGCGAACCAAGCCCGGCGCTTCGGCGCAGAACGGCTTGGGAAATTGGCTTTTGCATGAGGACCTGGGTTTGATTTGGACGCTTAGAGAAGTTCACTTTCTCCAGAGAACACGCGCGGCAGCCAATCACTGCGAACGAACAGCGAGAGAATCTCGGCAAACGACGAAGGCCAAAATACGGTTACAGCAGCAATACGCCTGGGCATGAACAAGCACCACCAGGGAATGGATATTCTCAAGGCGCCATATTGTCGGTCGTTGTAATTCATCATATGCTCAGATCTGTGGCTCCCATCATCTTCATAATATCCCCCATCATCATCGCAGTCATTTCGTTTTCACTCCCTCGACACTCTCCCCTTTTTGTTCTCCTCTTCCCCTAACCCCGGTGTAGAGTAGCCAGCTAGGACAAACATCAAGGCAAACTTCATTGCATGACCGTCATTAAAATCGATCAATCAGTCGTCGTTTATTGTCTGCCGAGGGACACAGCTTGATAGGCTATAGGATTGCGCGAGTCACGACTATGCACGTTGAATGTGCCTTCCTCCACTAGAAGACAAGTCCCGCGCGTGACGTCATCGTTCGTGGATCTCCGACCCGCCCCAAGCGGCAGAGACGCTCAAGCTTGACCAGAGTAGCCCGAAAGCGGTAGACGTGTCCGTCGTGGCGTCGCAGTGTACTGGCGTCGCACTCGTGAGACGCTGGAATGCGGCGACGCCGCGACGGATGGGTCTTCCGTTTTGCGGCTACTATGGTCAAGCTTCAACCATTGACTTATCATAACGCCCGCTAGAGGTTCAACTGGCGTTAGTGTCTATACGCGACTTCCGGGTGCAAATTGAAGCAGACAGCATGCAGCCCACTTTTGCGGTGGCTTGCTATCAGAAAATGCGCGCGATTTTATTTATTTCTTTATTTATTTCAGTGCCTTCAGGGCCACTAGGGCATTACAGAGGGGAGGGGCAATATATAGTACAAAAGTCACTAAAACAAAATCAAATACATACGATGTAAAACATGAGCAGTCAAGGTTAATGTCAACAAAGATGGTTGGTTATCGCATTTGTGAACGAACCAGGGGATGATATGGACACTAAAGATGCGGGAAGGTGGTTCCACTCGGAAGACGTTCTGTGTATGAAGGAGCCAATGCAGGCGTTGGTGCGACACTGATGACACCCTGCTTTGCATTGATGGCCAATGCGAGCTGTAATATGCAGGGGAGGAAGAGGAAAGTTTTGTTTTTTTTAGAGTAGGGTTAGAGTAATACGTTTTGTGAAAAAGACACAAAGCAGAAACTTTGCGACGCAAAGACAAAACAGGCAGAGACAAGTTAGTCTTCATTCACGATACACTTGCGTTGCGGTGATAATTGCAAGAGATAAATCGTGCGCCGCGATTTTGTACGACCTCAATGTTAGATACAAGTGTTGAGTGGCCGGGATCCCTGGTTGCTGCAGCGTATTCTGACTTTGAACGTATCAGTGTTTTAAATGAGAGTAATTTTAATGACAAAGGGGTTAATGTAAAATTTTCTTTTAAGTAACCAAGCATAAAGTTGGCGTTAGCAGAGATGTAATTCGTCGAAAAATAACGTGGATTACTTTTGTCATTTGAACCGTACCGAATATTATGTACCTTCACTAGCATTGTAAAATAATATTTGCTTTAGTTACTGTACTTTTATCCATCAGTGAACGGTGT